TAAAGAGTATTCTTAGGAAGTTTCAGCTGAATCCAAGTTTGAGCGATTTTCGTCGTAGTAGCACTTTAAAAAAATCTCCAAGTTTAAAAACATTTTCCTCATATCTCTTTCCCTTTCTACTCCACTAGTCAGGCTATACTCTCAAGTACTCTTGCCCCCACCATCCCCTCTCCTCCCCTCCCAGTTAATAATCATAACCATAACTCACCTCTCCTCTTGCTGGAGGATTTAGTTCCGGCATCTGCACATCCGGGTAAACATTATCAATATACCACTTAAAACTCTTACATCCCAGTCTCTTTCTTAACTCCACACGTTTACTAATGTCTCCGTAATTGTTATTTTTTGCTTGAGGCTTCTTGTTATAGTACAGGTCTTTGTATTCATCCATCCAGACTTCAGCCAAACGATTGAAGTTCTTCGTCAAAGTTTGTTCAACACCGTTCGGGAATTTGTACGGGCTCGTGTATTTACGGAACACGTGACCAACGCGTGAACACGTGATTATTTCTAATCGACCACCACACATCCAAATCTATGAAAGAAAATTAATTAAAAAAATTATTTATATTTTTTTGTTCAAATACCTAGCACTAAAGATTTTTGTCTTGATATCTTAGTGCATACCATATATTCGTGAAAAACTTTGCAAGAAATTGAAAAAATTTTTTTACAAATAAGTAACTTCAGTGGACCTCAGTATACCGTAGACCTACAAACCTTTGCACTTATTTGTACAATTTTGTAAGTCAATTTTCTCACAGATATATGGTATGCACTCTATAGGAATATTATAGCCTCTTTTCCTGAGAAAATTCACAATAATCCGCCATCTTGGGTACCCAAATAGAGTCCCACAATTCCATTCGTTATGCGCTCGAATTGGCCTGAGAAAACAGATGTCCTTTCGCTCCCCCGTTTCCCCGCGAAAGTAACGTGTTAGGCCCTGGCTAAACGAGCAAACATGTTTCCCTAAATGTTTCCTAAGGTGGCAAAATTGTCAGGAAACATCGGAAACCAATGTTTCCATGCATCTTGGAAACATGAAATGTTTCTGCCGCACAGCAAAAAAATTTTTTGCGTCTTGGAAGCAAAATTTGTTGCACGCAGTAATGTTTCGCATGTGGCTAAACTGGGAAACATCGAGGAAACATGCGCGCGATAAACATGTTTCCTCGTTTAGCCAGGGCTTTACTTTCGCGAGGGAACGGGGGAGTGAAAGGACGGCTGTTGCTCAAATCCGGTCTTGACAATTCGGAAAAAAGTTTTCGGACTTCAAGGAATGCTCAGTTTTGACACCAAAGAAAGTAACAGATTACATTTCTTACAGAATTTCGTTGAAAAGAATTCGTCGAGTTTTAATAAACATTCCGCCTTTTGGGAAAACGTTGTACACTGAACTGAGAAATCCTCTGTGACCATCAAGTATACTATATTGCCACGTTATTTATTCCACTGTTAGATTTAGTAGAGAAAACAATAATACTAATCTGTAGACACTTAGAAACACTACACCCAAACGAGAAAGGTTTGTTGAGTCAGCTCAGTAGTCATGTGACACGACCTCAATGTTTCCCAAGAGCATGTATGTAATATAGAGCAGTTTTCGTATGACTGTGAAAAGCTCAGTGCCGTAAGCGTGACGTGCCGTGCGTGACGCGAATTTTAATTGGCTGATTTTTTTTCATATGATTGGTCTAAAAGTGCCGTGATCTTGACGTGACCGTTTCCGCCTTGTGTTTATACCGTGTTCCGGGTATTTGATTGGATGGAGAGTAAATTCTCGTGCAATGTGATTGGTCTGGCTTATCCCTAGCCGTGTCACGACCGTGTTCGTGCCGTGAACTTTTCACAGTCATACGAAAACTGCACTAAGCCTGTATAATCRCGGCTTCACACGTATGTTCTCACCCTGAAAGACAGCTCTAGATTTTCTCCACCCCAAATATCCATCTCTTCGTCATATGCTCCTTGATCAAAGAAGTATTGGCGATGAATTGAAAACAGACCTCCGGCCATTGTCGGTGTTCTGAAAAATGAAAGAGATTAATTCCAGCTACAACTAACTYTCATATGTATAAAGAGTCCATTTTTCAAATACAAACAAGATGAGAAAATACTAAAATGCACTGGAAAAAAGAAATTAAAGAAAAATGGAATAGACTGTTGAGAGAATGAAAGAGATAACTAAGTAAATAGCAATTGGAGTGTGAAATGGGATGGAGGTCTGAGAAAATAAACGTAAGCAAGAATTAAAGTCATGAAAGTTATGAGAGGATGATCGAAAAAAATGGGAAAGAATAACAAACTTAGGAAAAAARAAAAAAAAGAAATCARGGAAGACGATAAGATTAGAAGATAGTTAAAGTCTTTATAGGCCCTTTGCATTTAAAATTTCGAAATTTTACAAAGAATGTATTGCTGATGGGAATGACTTACGTACCAGCTTTACCTTTGTAAAATTTCGCGTTTTCAAAACAATATACTGTATTTCTTTTCTATTGACTCGCAAAACGTTCAAACTTGGCTATAGTACTTATTTTGAAGTATTTTTTCTGATTGTGTCGATCAATTTTTTTTTTAATAAGAGAAGGTTTGTTGGTCACGTTGTGTCCTATCTACAGATGCAAAATGTAGGGGGAAAAATCAAATTTGCATGTTTTGCTTTAATACCTGATTGGATCAGAATCGTCTTTTCTCAACTTCTGTTCCTCAGGAGGAATTCCTTTCCACTTAAAAAATAAATCCCAACTGAATCCTCCCCGCTGATCAGCATTAGTAGATCCTTGATATGCAAAGGTGTCAGCATTGATAACCTCAATAGCTGGACAGACAACATTGGCCCTACTCTCTGCTATCCTTGCCAGCAAGGGCTCTGCCCAACCAGGTGTAGCCTCACAATGTGAGTCAAGGAATGTGAGAACATCTCCCTTTGCATGGTAAGCTCCTTGAAGCCGAGCACGGACTAGACCTTCTCTCTTAGTCATTCTTAGTACTTTTACTTTGGTGAACTCTTTAATGCCGTCATCTAATGGCTTGGCAAGTTTAGCTGAAGAAAGAAAGAAAGAAGAATTTGAAATTTATTAGTGTGGCCTTGTCTTGATAAGTAGATTGATTGATATCCAGTAGAAATCATAATTTCAATCCCTGGAAAATCTGACTTTAGATTTTTTGTTAATCAAATGCAGAAGTATACCACAGGGTATTTTAATGAAGTTTGGGGAAGTAGGTGGCTCCACTCTTCTCAACTTCTGATGCATCAAACTAAAGGTGTGGTGACATTGCCTGCAACATTGCATGAAAAAGGCTGTTTTTGGGTGTCACACTTTGTAATGTTGCACAATTGCACCATGTGTCTGCAATATAACTACTGTACTGTATAGAAAGAAAAATATAATCCTTTGGACTTACGGTCTTGGCTAAAATCATCCACAACAATGACTTCCTTCAATAAATGAGGAGGAGTTCTATTGATAACACTATGTACTGTCCGCAGCAAAACTGATAGTCTTTCCTTGTGAAAACAGATGATAACAGTCGTAGTAGGAAGATTTAGTGGGTAGGTGTCATGCTTGGCTTTACACCTGCGGAAAGAGAAAATTTAAAATGTAATGCATTGTAGTGCTTATTACAATAATAATGATATAGATATATAGAAAACTGAGAACACTGAAGAAAAGGAGTCCCAGATGGAATATACAGTATACTTAAATATATATTCTTGTGTTGCAATGTCGATTATCTGAATCACAGGTTATTTTAAAATAGCATCTTTCTGGATGACAGCACATGGTGTCTATATCATTTGACCTTAATCTTAATACATTCAAATTTTAACTAAAATTGTCATTGCTGTAAGTGTATAACAAAGTAGATGAAAGCCAGCTCCAGTTGATAACATACGCTATTCTCACTGAATGAATTATCACCAAGCAGTATAAATTAAGTCAACACACATGGCTCATTGCATAACATCRTTTGGAGCTTCAGACAAGAATTTTGCCCCACCCACCCCTAAGCCTGGTGGCAGTGGTGTTCTCGTTTTCCCTATTCTTGCTGTTTGCCTCATCATTGTCGCGGATCTCGCCCCATAACTCAATCATACTGTGACGTGATAATGGCTTCAGTGAGAATATATTGCTATAGCTAATACTACAAACTTGAAATTATAAATGGAAAAAACTGACAATTAATGTAAAAAGAATAGGTTAAGAATAATACTAGTGTAACTTAATTTCTCAAGGAAATTTTTAGGGCTTGTGACAGAGCCTAAAATAACGGCAGGACATGGAACAATGTCTGTCCAGAATTGAAATTTGTTGGGTCAAATCTTTGCCTTGCCTATCATTTTGACCAGTAACATAGAGCCAGAAATGAAGTATGACTAAGCAAAAACTATTTTGGCCAGAATCATGACCAACGATTTAGAAGCCCATATTTTAAGCCCTGTTGGGATAGTATTTTATCAAAACATTCTGACTGGTGACTGAGAGCTACATTGTAGTCTAGATATTTGATAACCAAAAAAAATATTTTAGTTTTTATTAAAGAATTAAAACTTTATGAAGTAAGGATTAAGCTAAAACTAATTTTCTTAAAAACATTATTGTAAATTCCTTTTATTATTGCTGTTATTATCTTAGAAGAATATGTTCATCCGAGCGTAAGCACTATATAAGTTAATAAATCATTATTATAATGTCTATCAATTATTATTTGAAACAAAGATTGATGGCTGTAGGTGACAAATTATGGAGTCACCATGAGAAAAAAATTGTTAATCAGATGCAAATTTTTAATCACTTTCAATTTTAAGCTTTTTTTGTGTGATAATTGTTATGTTTTACTTGTTCTCAGACAAAACTAACAGATTTTATTACCTAATCCTGCCTAAAAGATAACAAATTTATTATCATTTATTATTAAAGTTCACTATTCAGGTTTTGAAAAAGAGCATAAAGTTTGAATCATAGGTGTAGGAAACAATTGGTTTTTCATTATTTTACTTGTAATTTAAAACTTTAAAAAGTCATCTTAAATTGTAGTTAAGTGTTCAATAAATTGTAACATTAACTGGATTTAAAAGTCAGTATAACAGTTAAACTTGTCACCTTCAAAAAGACATCTCAAAGATTCTGCTGCGCAGGTGTTATGCCATATAGTTTACATTTATTTTTGTTTTTCTTTTAGTTATGAATTCATTTAAGAGTTGAATTTCAAGGAAAATGTTCAGTATTTCAATGAGTTATTAACATTAACAAAGCTATCCAAAGAAATTGTACGATTTAAATATTTCACCTAATTTTCAAACAAAAAAATTTTAGGAAAGCTCAAAGAAATTAAAAGTTTGCAGGAACCTTAGATTCCCAGCACAAGAGAGTCTTACTATTTGCTATTGGCCAATTCAGTTTTTGAATAGAAAACAGTCTAGTGTTTTATCGACTGTTATTTGTTAGATCGTTGCCTTTACATGTACATGTACAAAGATTTTACACCTAGAAGCCAGATTATTTTGAAATCCCAACAAGAAACTCACAGACAATCTTAATCTATTAGAGAACAACAAATTCAAAAAGATATTTGCATACTAAAGATGAATTTAATACATTTAATCCAAGGCTTTTATAAACGTTTGAAGTATAACTTTTGAGGTTGAAATTTGTTTCAACATTTCTTTTCTCTTTTAGTGAAATTTTATAGATTTAAATATTTGCTCACAGAATATTTGTTTAGCTGCTATGATACAACAAACAAGAAAAGATTATTCAGATTTTCCAGTTTGACTTCCACTTCAAAGCACTTTAAATCACAAAAATCTTTTTGAGAATTGTATACATGTATATATAGTAAAATATTCAAGCCATAAAACAACCAAGGATGTTATTAATGGAAAACATGTTTTYCGTTGCTTTTCTTAGCCTTAGGGTTATTTTAATGTCTGTGTAAACATGTTACTATTCTATGTAGACATTAAGACAGTTTTTTTTTACCAATTACCATGGACAGATGTATGGGCCCTTTTCTTTTTCAATAAAAAGAGATTGAATCTAATTTATCTACTGAATGAGATAAGTATTTTTATCTCCAAAAAGAGGGGTTTCTATGAAAGATAACGTAGCAATATGAAACCATGGATATAACTATGTGTTGCTATGGTCACTGATAAAAATAGTAGTTTTTGTTTCATATTAGTTAAGGGTTAAGGGTTCTGATTATTCATATTTATCTCTGCATACTAGAATGTACTGTGGTTTGTATTTCTCCCTCAGCAAAACTCAAACCTTCAAAAATTATCAAACCCTTAAACCCTGGGTTGCTTATTGAGGTCAAAGCAGCTATTACTGGCAGATCATATTGCAACTTAGTGTGTCAAGGGCTTTCAGCCCAGCTCTGATATTGGTTTGATATACTTTAACGGCTAAAGCTGGTATTTAAAGATCATGCAATATTTAAATAAAAAGGTGGGTGGATTATACTGTCTTTCATTCTGATTGGATGATTTGCTATGTTGAAACCTGATGGTCAAGCCCTTCAATCAATCAATAAAATTATTCCATACCATTTCTAAAACCTAAAAAGTATAAATATTAAAATACATAAATTTAGGTACTAGCTAACTGTGATAGTCACAGACAAGACAGATATTTTTTTTTACATCAACACACTTACAGTATGTATCAGTCTTTTCAAACTGATTTTAATTCCCACACTGGGTTTGTTTTATATATGTAGTAGCTTACTTCAGCTATCAGCCTCTACCATACTTATTTACATTTYCCCCCACTCAGATACACTATTTTACCCCGGAGGACCAGATGGTTATCTAACATACTGGCTAGTCATCTACAACACATCTTCACTCTATGACAATCATAGACAACACAAATTGTTTATAATTTATAACACCAAGAAAAACAAGACAGGCTATCTTTCCTTTTAGCTGTGGGTGGGGAATAACTGTATCTTCTAATTAGAAACTACACAGTAGGTCTGTGCTCATTTGTAAACCATATCTCGATCCATTAGATACGTTAATAAGGATTAAACTAATGGCTTTTTCCTCCCTTAATATATACGCGGCAGCCTGCGGTAAAATTAAGAAAACGGAAAATCTATCACGCTATAGTGAAGGCGACAGACAAAATATGAGTTTTTTTCTATAGTAATGTATATAACTCCTGGCAACAGTTGAAACAAGAAGAAAAAGTTAAAATTAAGCTTAAAATATTTTTTCGAAGTGTGAATAAGTTTTTGTCTTGATGTCAGGAAAAAATGAAGCTGGTGTATTCAAAGACCTTATATTTATAGAACGTATGAAAGTAAACTATAATCTGCTAGTACATGATATATGCTATAGGATTACTAGTTTCAGTTCATAAAATTCTTACTAGTAATTGAGCTCACCTTTCACTTCGAACGTCTTCAAGAGTTCGATCCAAAGATATTCGGTCGCTTAAAAGCCAATTGAAAGAGTGATTTGCAAAGAACTTTTCTGCTAGTTTCTTATCGTTGTCATTTTGTAAAAAAGCAGGTTTTCCGCCCTCGCCTAAGCTCATAGTATCTTTCATTTTTCCAATGCTGGCATCATAGATTTTTCTCTTGGATCCTTGGTTTTTTCTTGGGATAACTCCCATCATGACCTTAGCACTCGCTAAAATCCCCCTAGAATCATCAGCATTGTCTTTCTCCCATGGATACTTGATGTGCTTGGCATTAGGCTGTAAAGGCTGGACACCAGCACCAATCATATACTTGTGGTTCTTTGCATTTGGTAATACTATGGGCGAGTTAAGCATAGTTAGAGATTCTCGAGTCATATCATTACTGAACATCAACACGAGAACCGTCACTGAAAACCAGAAAGTTGATGTGATTACGATGATATTAAAAATTCTTTTTGCTGCCATGGCGAGTGTTCCGAAGGCTGCTTGGTATGGTGGATAATATTAAATCAACAAGTTAATAGCGACGCCACGTAGGAAGTTTTTACACCTTTGAAGCATGACAGCTACGCTCCTTCCAACATATTGCCTAATTTTGCCAAATCTAAAACTCCGATTATCGATCGAACAACATGGACTTATCCTAATACAAAGAAGAATCCAAAGAGGAAGTCAGAGGCAGATTTGATGTAGAAGAGTCGAAGAGGAAATCTTTTTGCGTATTTTTTTTCTCGGTTTGTGAAGTTGAGTACTTTAAGAATGATTAGGACTTGGTAACCGTTCATTAAAGCCACAGGTAACCCAAATGTTGTCATCGCTTACGAGAGACTGAGATTATATTTTATTTCAAGCCAGGAAACGAATGGAAGGCAAAAGACAAAGAGAAAAAGCAGGATTTGGAAAAAAGAAAAGGCAAAAGGTATAAGGAAATCTGGATTACTATAGGAACTACGCCCATACTACGGTAAATAAAAGCTCAGCGCTAAGAAATTCATCAGTCATACACAGTGGTTAAAAACCACACGATATTTCAAAAAATATTTATTTCATTTTGTGGCGGATTCAGGAATTTTAGAAGGGGTGAGTATTACAAAGGTTTTACAAGGAATGCGTAGAAACGGGGTTAGCTTACTAAGAAAATACTACGAGACTTGTGAAAATGGGAGGGGGGGGGTGTGAAGGAGGGGGGGGGGGGGGGGTACAATGAAATAGGTGCATACAAATTTTGGTCCGGATATATACGAATGTACCTGAAATGGATTGAATGAGCGTATAAGAAAAAGAATGTACCTAAATCATGAATGAACTTTTATAGGAATGGAAATTGGTACTTCAATAAGAATGGATGAACGTATAGGAATAAGAATGGACCTGAGATGGTTTGGATGAACTAATGTAAAGGAATGAAACTATGTATAATACAGTGTTCAGGGACGAGCGAGAATGTAGTATAACCGAATGTATACCCGGAATAGGAATGTACTCGAAATAGATTGGATGAGCGCATAGGAAGGTAAATATATCTGAGATGGATTGGAGGAACAAAAAGCGCGTGAAATAGATTGCATAACTATTTATAGGAATGGAAAATGAAACTGAAATGGATTGAATGAAAGTATAGCAATGTAACTGCATCAGATTGGATGAACGTATAGGAAAGAATGTACGGGTCAGCTTGATTTCGAAATCGAAGGAGGTCGGAAATCCGATTTTCTCTTTGATCTCAGCGGTTAATTTGGTTAAAAAACATACACGAAAAACAATACTAATAACTACGATTTACCGCCTGATTACCAATTACGTACAAAGTATACTATATATGTATTCATACGCACACGACACGGTTAGCGAACGAGATTGACGTCATACATAAAAGACTGCGACCCAATCACAGCGCGTAATTCTAATGCTCATGAGTGACCAGAGCTATTAGCCGAGACCTCAAACTTTCAAGACAAATTGCTCATTAAAACTGCTAACAATCCGAAAAAAATGAACACAAGTGAAAAAACAGTTTAAAAAGTAAGGAAAAGTACTGTGGTATGTAACCCGATGCAGTCCACTGTGAAATTTGCAGACAACCATTTCAAAACTAGGAAGCAACCTAAAGAATTTCTCACTGAATTGCCTGGCATTGTACGTCTAAAACTAAAGGAAACTCCAATTGGCCCACATTCGGGCAGTTTCGACGAATGGCCAATTTTGAAGGGAGAAAATAATTTACGAATGACAAAGAAAATTGGAAATCGAATAAATGAAGATAAGGAAGAGTCTCCTAAGTCAAACGTTTCCAGTGATGTTCTTCAAAATGAAAGCGCGTCGATCGAGAAGGAGGATTCACCAAAGACAGTGCTGTCTTTTGATGGACTACTACCTCGCGTAGAAATCGAAAAAAACTATAAATTACACGGCAGAAAGACGATTCTTGCTCCTCTACAAATTCAGAAGCCTCCAGGGAATTTTGCCAAAAGAAACTTCACTCTAAGCCATACCTCGCTCGTAACAGTACCCAAAGAGAATAGTCATGGCGAGTTGGAAAAACCAACGCCCCACCAGGTTTTGCTAGTCCAACCAGCAGTAATCACTCCTGTACACGATAAGGTACAAACTAAGGAATGTCCACGCAAGAAGGAACCAATTTTGGATGTGGATAATTCAGTTTTCCCATTTCAGACAAATTATCGAGAAGAACAATATGGCACAGCATCGCCGCACCTTCTTCCCTTTCCGGATGAAAAGCAATCGGGTCCAAGCATTGTAGCAGGTGCTATTCCTTTTTGTGCTAAGAATCGGAAATACTGCTATGTTTGCAGAAAATGTGTTGAGAAGGGTACTAGACTTGAAGTGGGAGCAACGAATTGGGCCCTGGCTGGGTTGTTGTGTTCATTTGGCTGTTGTTTTGGATGCTGCTGTCTTGTCTCATTCTGTCTTGATTCTCTCAAGGATGAGGTCGAGTACTGTGTTGAGTGCAACCAAGATTTTTAGAAAGAGTAGTTTTACTAGTTACTAGTCCCCGCGTTCATGAAACAAAGTTTCCTAATTAGTTAGTACGTATAGTAACAATGCAATGCAATTATATGATTATCTTGGCTAAGAAAAGTAAAATATAGTCGGCCCCTAAAGATGGGCGGTTCTGACTCAAAATGTAATGAAATCCTCAACTCTTTCCACCCCAATCGTTTTACCCCCTACATCCCCCCCCCGTCCCCCAGGCGATAAATGATTGCGGTCCTCTCAAACTAACCCTATAGTTTTTAATAACAGCTAGTTAGATTTGTGCTTCCATATCAAACATTGATCATACGATATGGAGTGAGCTTTCTCTACCCCAACTTCGACACTAACATATAGAGTAAAGCTTGATATGGGGGTCATACATGACTGTAAGCAGCTGAAAGAGGCGGCTAAGCAGCTGAAAGAGGCGCCTAAGCAGCTGAAAGAGGCGCCTAAGCAGCTGAAAGAGGCGCCTTCACTTCATTGCTTCCACCCGCGCCAGTAGTCGACTCCGCTATTGAGCTGCGCTACTGGATGCTATACTTGCGGTGGCTTTTTAAGCGATAGGCTTGGTTGGCTAAAAGTCTCACTCATTGCCAAATGCATGCATGACCCATTATATTTTGTCAACAGCCCTACAGATTATTGAAAGTATGATTTCAGTTACAAAACAAACCTGTGGCGCTGAAATAGAAAATATAACAGTGTTTGTCGTCTGCATGTGACTCTTTCTTTATAGCCAGCCACTTTTTAACAAGGAAGGGATTAAATATAAACACTAATAGATCATTTTATAGGATTAAATCAGTTGTCATGGTAATTCAAAATCTTGATATATCCCCTGCCGAGAGATTTCGAAGTCATATGAAGCTCGTCATGAAAGACCATGCTACTGGATTGGGTTGCCTGTGGCTAAATCCTTCTTGACTGAGTTCAAAATGGCGGATTCTTTTGCTTGCAAAAATATAAAGAACTTGAGCAGCTAAAAATGACTCCTGAAGTCAAAAAAACTTCGTACTCTTTACATTTAAACCATATATATCTGCCCGTATAGCTTATATCATTTAAGATAATTGCTAAAATGGAAAACAATGGTAAAGAATTCCAAGCAGATTCTTCGATAGTACATCCCGTTCGTCAGGTGGCTCAGAAAGTATTGGATTTTTCCAGTCAGTACTCGTGTAACACGTCATCTAGCTACTCTGCTTCTAATCTTGCTGGACAAGCGAAAAGCTACCCGAATTATGGCGACTTTCAGACTTCATTCGTTCTGGTATAGATATTTCAGCAATGCTGTAACATTTACTCTTTGTTTCAATTCATACAGCGTTCCATTCCATGCATTTCTTTAAGCTTGATATGATACTCGACCAGTGTGTCTTTAATAATTTCTTTAGACACATAATGGTAATAAACCAGCATTTTGGTTTGTTTTCTTAAAATAGAAAGTTGCATTTATATATGTTAAGGGGAGGGGTAGATACAGTAGATATAACATTTAGAGACGGGGATAACTATACGACACCCTAGAAAGCTATGATTGCTACTGACACATGAACCTGTGTTCCTTGGCACTCTGTAGTTGTTGTTTTTTGTTACTGCTATTTTTTCACAAATATGCAAACTGTGTGGCCGTGAGCTGCAGGCTGAAATTTGGTTCTTTTTGCTGCCGTCAATCAAAACTAATCGGTCGGTGCCTTTTATGTTTTTGACTGGCTGCAGTAAAAAACCAAATTCCAACAGGCAAATTGCAACTACAGAATTTGCATGCTTATGAAAATAGCAGTAATAGAGTGGGAAGGAAAAGAAAGAATGGAAAACCTTTTCCATTTCACGTTGGCTTTATTCTCTAAATAAGACTGGGTGTTTGGGGTACTGGGGTGGTTCAGTGATATGGATCTGTCACTGGAATCTTAAGTACCTGACCTTATCTCAGACAAGTTTATCTTGAAAAAAACATATCTTGTTGAAGAGAAAACATGCTATAAATTATAACGCTATCTAAGACTACAGTGTATGCAGTATTGTTTTGGCTGGTGATCTTGATTGGCTACCAATTGACCAGCTGTTAATTTAGGTTATAGTATATATAGGAGTACAACCCCAGAGGTAAAAGGGTAAAATTGTTATTTTTCCATTCATTCTTTTTCAGAGGACATATGGTCCGTGGTGGACTTGTGCACCTTCGGCACCTCCCAAAATTAAAGTCGTCTCGAAGGCAAAGAGTAGTTTCATTAGTACTGACTTTGTTGGTAAGATATGCAAATAATACTCAATTTATTTAGAGCTGTATTATAGCAGATAAAGTAGCAAGTGTCATTCTAATAATGGGAATATAATAATGGTTCCACAAAGTGGCTCTTCTTCCACTGAATTGCAGTTGGAATTTAGCAGTTGATTTTTACAGAGGGTGAAAAACTGGTGATCCTGGAGATAAAAAGAGAAGCACAAAAGAGAACCAACATTTCTCTGTACTGTGATATAAACACACTGGGAACTGCAGAGCGCAAGAGAAGCAAGCTTAGGAACAAGAGACTTACATGTAGCCGAGTGTTTTGCTTGCTTTTTGACTGCTCTACTTGTACAGCTCCCAGAGTGTTCATATCACAATACAGAGACATAAGCAACCATTTTTGCTTTTATAAAATATTTTTGGGCAACTTTATGCGTGCATGACTCTGTTCTCTGATATAAGCATATGAAATGTACCTTTTATTGTGTTGGTTATTTCTAGATCTATTTTATGAAGAACCTGTGTATCCCAAGAAAATTCATATTCTAGAGACATACAACCCAGGAGCTGTAGTCAGGATACTAGCACTAAAAGAGGATAATAACCAAGTAAAACCAATCATCAATGCAAATGGAGGGTTAGTGACCAGGGAATGTGACCAGGGCAATGTGACCAGGGCAATGTGACCAGTCCATGTGACCAGGGCAATGTGACCAGGGCAATGTGACCAGGGTAATGTGACCAGTCCATGTGACCAGTCAATGTGAGCAGTCCATGTGACCAGTCAATGTGACCAGTCCATGTGACCAGTCCATGTGACCAGGGCAATGTGACCAGTCCATGGGACCAGTCAAAGTGAACAGTCCATGGGACCAGTCCATGGGACCAGTCCATGGGACCAGTCCATGTGACCAGTCCATGTGACCAGTCCATGTGACCAGTCCATGTGACCAGTCCACGGGACCAGTCCATGTGACCAGTCCGTGTGTCCAGTCAATGTGACCAGGGCAATGTGACCAGTCCATGTGACCAGTCCATGGGACCAGTCCATGGGACCAGTCCATGGGACCAGTCCATGTGTCCAGTCCATGTGACCAGTCAATGGGACCAGTCCATGTAACCACTGCATGTGACCAGTCAATGGGACCAGTCCATGTGACCAGTCCATGGGACCAGTCCATGGGACCAGTCCATGGGACCAGTCCGTGGGACCAGTCAATGGGTCCAGTCCATGGGACCAGTCCATCTTTGTTTGCTTTATTCAATCGTCATCTATTCATCTCTGATCTTCAATCCTTTTTGTATTCGTCTTTTCATTCATTCATGTTCTATTTCCCTTCACTTTACAGCTGGGTTGAGTTATGGTCTGGTAAACCTCAGAAATGTCCACCTTTATCAAGATCAATGTCACCTCCATTAAAAAGGATCGAAAAACCCACTCGGTAACGTTCTTTCCTCATCTTTATAACAGATACTTTATATTATTTATATAAATTATCTAAAGGCCAGAGTATATTTGCATGTAAATGATAAAAAGAACCATGGTTTTGAAATCAAGTGAAAAAATTCGAGCTCATTTTGCTCATATTCTCTTTTCAACATGGCTTTTACTGCTCTAATTATACGTTATTACATCATAATTAAATAATTCGAAATCTTTTCCACATGCGTACAAATGCCATCAACAAAACTATATTGTATGTAACATTTAAAAAAAGCTCCTTGGTTTTGACTTGAGTATAATGTCAACTGTAGGCGCCAATGCTTTGATGTTCTCAGTAACGACGTCTTTTATCCCCGCTTTTAGTTAATAGCCATTAAATTTCTTGTTTCCTCAGTAATTAAGGGGCACTTAATTTTCGCATCATTAATTTTGCGACACATTAATTTCGCAATCTTGCGAGCAAATTCTATTCTAAGTCGCCCAGTTTCGTTTCCAAAGGCGCACAAATTCAAACAACAAAACGACTTTACTAAGTAACATTTACAAAAAATTAAAAAATTGCGTTTGTTTCTTGGTTTTGACTTCAGTTTAACAAAATTTATAATACTATTCATTCAGTGCCGATGTGGTTCAATAGGCGTTAGTACTTAGTCGTTCTCAGTATCATCGTCCTTGCTTTTTAATGGTCACGAAATTCGTTATTTTCTCAATAATAGACCTATTCCACTGTTTTTTCATTTCAGACTAAGTATCATTCCCTAGAATATCAATATTTCTTTGTTTAATGGTTGTGCATTAGAACACATGAATATGGATGCTACTCAAACAACGAATTTTATTCTCAAGAGTATGATACGTTGTCTGAAATGGGCAAGACATTGCGCCCAAGTGGTCTTGGCCCATTGATTTTCGCAACACCTCGCTGTTCGTGGCACTTTAAGTTTGAAGTTTGCGATTTGAAATCGCGAATTTAAAGTGTCGCTAAGATTCTGTATAGTAAGGTATGATTCATTTAATCCTGTATCCTGTTGTTGTCTGATGTCTGTGTAAATACTTCTAATGTTCACAGTGTTATACGTTTGGAATTCAATCACCAACATCTTGAGTACTACACTGAACTCGATGCGGTTGAACTTTTTGGCAATGCTGTAACTACTGGCAACTTGAAAATCTATCAATCAAATGATGTGTCAAAGTCCTGTGCTACAGATGTTGCAACAAATCTTATAGAGAAGCTGTCAATCACAGATGTTGTGACGTCATCTAATAATGGTTATTTTGATCTCCTTCCGGTGAGATGTTTTCTATTCTTTTTTTAATGCTGTTTTGCTGTTAATTCCTGGATACATTTGTGGCTACTTCGTAATTAGCCATTCCGAGATGGAGGGGAAAAATGCGTCGATTTTTCCTTGTGGTGCATTTTGGGACTGCTTGACCGGACAAAATAGAAGCCATCTTGGAAATATGTACCCTAAAACAGTCCCTCAATGCACTGCATTGCAAGCTCGATTTTCCTCAACCTATAGGAATGGGAAATAGACCCTTTTGGTTTGGGGCGTAATGTTTTGCCCATTTCAGACCTTGCGTCATTCCCTAGAGTAGTATTTCTTTACTTAACAGTTGCGCACGAGAAAGTACATGAATATGGATACGACTCAAACATAATTTTATTCTCGAGGGAATGACACGTGGTCTGAAATGGACAAAACACATCATACTATCATCAATGAAATTCAATTAAATTAGTGGCCACTTGGAAAACGAGCAAGAGACTGACGAGAGTTTTAAATTTCATTCTCATTAGCTAAAACATTTTGCTATTAGACAAAGCAAGTGTTAACATGTTTCGATGAAAAGAACCAGAGTTACAGGCTTCTAAATGGTCCAAAAAAATACGAAAAATGTCTGGTTAAGGTGCTGACACACGGTGCAACATTGCACGCAACAGGACTGTTGCAGCGTGTGTCTACCCCAAACTTGTTGCACGCAGCGTTGCATACAACAAATCTGAAGTTGAATCGCGCTCTACTCTCGCAACATTTCGCGCAACAAATTTCATTATGTGAACGTGGCTGCAACATTACCTGCAACATTTTGAAATTTCCAACCAATCAGCTTGCACAAAATTTATAACTGCTGACCAAATATCTTAACATAGCAGGCTGACACAAGCGATGTTGCGTGATTTTGTTGCAATGTGTATCACCCCGATTCAAATTTATTGGTTGCAATGAAATTATCCCAAATAAACATCAGGGTCCGGTCGTATGAAGGTGTGGGATTGCGCTATCCAACGGGTAAATCCTTATCTAAGTCGATGCAGTTATCCAATAAATAATCCGCTGGATAAGGTTTATCCGTCGGATAGCGCTATCCACCCTTCGTAGACACGTAGAACCCGCCCAGTTTTATTCCATATCTTTTGGTTGTCTTCCAGAATGAGGTGGTCCATTTAGTTTTCATGTATCTTGGATTTCATGACTTGACCAGGGCAGCTGCCACATGTAGGTAGGTAGGTACGTCCTGTATGGTATGGACGGTATGCATCGCAGACCTTAAGAATCGGCATAAAATATTTCTTGTTCTGTACGATTATGGTAGTATAAAATAGGCTGTGTTTGGCTGTGATGTCAATTTATTAGCGCAGTTTTCGCGCGCATGACTGTGAGAAGATTAAACCCTAAGCGTGACGTGCCGTGACCCTGATGCTTTCTAGAATTTTAATTGGCTGATTTTTCTCTCGCGCGCAATGTGATTGGTCTGACAGTGCCGTGACCTTGGCGTGTCCGTGTCCGCGCCGTGTTTCTGCCTTGTTCCGGGTATTTGATTGGATGAAGATTAAATTCTCGAGCAGTGTGATTGGTCTGGCGTATACCTTGCCTTGTTCGTGCCGTGAGTTTTTCACAGTCATATGAAAACTGCTCAAAGCGCAAGATTCCGTCTTAACCAGATTCAATAACATCGGGTTGCACAGGCCTGTGGTATGGTACTGTAGATAAACACTGCATGAGTGTCTTGATGAGTGGGTTTATTAATGATTCCTCTTCAGGTTATTTCTTCGCCACTGCTATGATCCTGTCTGGTATAAGGAGCTGGACCTACAGCCATATTGGACTGTGGTACGTTGACAGATTTTGCTTTGTATGACCAAGCAGTTGCTCTCTTAAGAGTGACAATGGTAGCGTAATGGTAAGACCTTTGCCGTTCTTCACTTTGAATCCTACAGGTGAAATTACGCTGGTTCGATTCCCGTGGACACCACATGTAAAGAAAGTTTATCTGATGCGTTTTCTCTCCCTTGCCGTGTTTTTCAATGGGTTCACATAGATAGTGGTTTTGTTTGTGAGTGAAAGTGGGTCTTTAGAATGAACTGAAGATAAAGGGACACTTGATACTGAACTAGATTTTTATCTGTATCGTTTGTCGACAGATGAATGACGTTGCTCTCAGAGGATTATGCAGTAGATGTACCAACACAGAAAAACTAAATTTATCTTGGTGTGGTCCGTACGGCGCTATTACAGCCAAAGGAATAAATCAGTAAGTTAAGCTATGGACACACGGTGCAAGATTGCACGCAGTGTTGCATGCAATTGATGTTGCGAGCCATGACACACGATGCAATTTGTTACACGCAACGTTGCTGAAGTATAAAGCTATAGGTACTAACACACGGTACAATATTGCAAGCAACAAATTTGAATCGGGGTGACACATTGCAACAAAATCATGCAACATCGCTTGTGCCAGCCTGCTATGTTAAGATATTTGGTCAGCAGTTATAAATTTGGTGCAAGCTGATTGTTTGGAAATTTCAAAATATTGCAGGTAATGTTGAAATTTGTTGCTCGCAATGTTGCAAGAGTAGAGCGCGATTCAACTTCAGATTTGTTGCATGCAACGTTGCGTGCAACAAGTTTGGGGTAGACAGCTGCAACAGTCCTGTGTGGTGCAATGTTGCATGCAATGTTGCACCGTGTGTTAGCACCTACTTCAGCAACATTGCCTGCAATGTTGCGACGTGTGTCTGCGCCTTTAGGAACGTTATTCAAGCAGCACTATAGGCCACCACCCGACCAGCTCTGTTGGTTTAACATTGGTCAGTCTGTGCTTGATATCGTGGGTTGAGAACAACTTTAACTAAAAGTGAAATTGAGGAGCAAAGTCAAAACAATAACCCAAAATAGGAAGCCGAGTCATTTCTGATATTTGACTTTTTATTTTGAAGATATTCGAGGACATAGTCTAGGATTTCACTTCCAGTGGTAATCCCATCCCTACTCTCTCTAAATCGGTTCCTAAACTAAGAAGAAAGTGCTTGGGATCGCGTCTTCACATATGAGGACGTCCCTGGACAAACTTGTTGGCATTTGTTATGCAAGACTGGTTTGATCCTATTATCCGCTTCAAAGTGGCTTCCTTGTGACTAAATAAACATTGTAAACTTCCAATAGTTTCCCTGAATGACTAATACTAATTTATTTTTTCTTACCCCTCCCACCTCTACACTTCCACCTTCCACCTCTACAAACCTCCACTTTCCAATACTACACATGACCATCAATCTCTTACGTTTTTCGATCATGTTTTTATTTATTTATTTTTTCCAGATTTTTAGAGAATTCTTGCAGGCAGCTGGTCTGTCTGCGTCTGTCAGCCTGTAAGTTTGTAGATAATAATGTTTTACGTGGGATTTCACAGTTTTGTCCAAAATTGAAAGGTAAGTTGGTAAAGTTAGACTTCATCATTCAGACATCATATTCATCTGTAGTAGACTGCAGTACACTACTTGTCTATTGTCCATTGTCCTCGCCTCTGTGGTCTTGGTTTTGATGCATAGACTAAGCATCACATGTGAGTAGAGTTTGTTAGGTCTCTCTTTTGATTCCGCAAGGATTTTTTTCGGTTTTAATCCCTCTGCAAAAGCCAGCAGGTTTTGAGTTAGCTGACTTTGATCAGCCCAGAGGCTGGTCAGTTCTGGGTTCAATCTGTGAGTTAGCCATACCCTGACTTTGATCAGCCCAGAGGTTGTTTCAGGATTCAATCTGTGAGTTAGCCATACCCTGACTCTGATCAGCCCAGAGGTTGCTCAGTTCAGGGTTCAATCTGTGAGTTAGCCATGTTCTGACTTAGATCAGCCCAGCGGCTGGTCAGTTCAGGGTTCAATCTGTGAGTTAGTCGAGCCCTTACTTTGATCAGCCCAGAGGTCGTTTCAGGGTATTAACACGCTTGGTGGTTTTCTGTAAATGAAAACTCACACACGACACATGTGCCGTGATCTTGACGGTTCCCGTGCTTGTCACTCCTTTGTGCGCGGAGATTTTTTTTGATGTTTGTCGTCATTTCCATATCACGCATATCCATATCCATATCACAGAAATGTTCTGCGATCTGTGTTTTATTTTATTACTGGGATGTTATTATGATTTCCGTGCCATATGCTGCAATGTTTTACTCACTGGTCTGCACTTTATTTCTACGTAACACGAACGTTTTTTTGAAAGGAATCAAGTTTCACAGCTTCCACTATTTCAGCGTTACTGCAGCATTTTATCTACCTACCTAAAATTCTTGTTTGTTTTATTTTTATTCTCACAGAGCTTGATCTATCTTCTTGTATGAACGCGACTGATGAGGGATTTGTGAATCTCAAGGCATTAAAGAAACTAAAAAGATTGAATTTATACCGTGTGAATATTACAGATGACTCGTTAATTCATATCTTAAGGTTAGTCCAAACAGGACAGGAAAAGAATTTTGTAAAAAATGTACGGTAAATAAACCTTTTTATCTTGGGCAGAATGTTTTCCCATTTCAGATCAAGTGTCATTCCCTAGAGTATCATTTCTTTGTTTGACTGTTGCACATGAGAAGACACATGAATACGGATACAACACAAACAAAGAATCTTATTCTCAAGTGAATGACACGTTGTCTTATATGAGAAATCATTTCGCCCGCTGATTGTTCTTGCTTGAACTTGTACTTAGATTCAGGACTAAATCACTGTGTGGTTACTAAAGGAATGCTACTGTTTGATGGTGTTTTTTAGGTCTTCTAATGATCTTGAACACTTGAATATTGGTGCTTCCATCCAGATTGTCAGATGTAATGAAATCATTTACTGTCTGACGGCAAACTGCAGGTATGATTAACAACAATAGATATAGATAGAACCGTTGATTTTAAACATTATCCTAGAAATATTGCTTGGGTGTAATGTTTTCCCATTTCAGACCAAGTGTAGACTAGAACATTATTTCTTTGTTTAACGGTTGCCCATGAGAAGGCACATGAATATGGATACAACTCGAACAACAAATCATATTTTCAAGACCATGTGTCATTCCCTAGCAGGGGCAGATACGGGATTTTAAAAAGGGGGTGGATAATTTTAAAAAAGTTCTTTTGAGCCTTCTTTTTACAGTACAAAGGTAAAAAAATGATTAAATTATAACATACAGTGTACTGCATACTTGTGAATGCAGATAAATTTTGACTCTTGACATATTTTGTAATAAGATGCAATCATATTCTTCTATTTTCCTAAAAATATTCACTTTTACTTTAAAAAGGGGGGTGGAAATTCACCTAATCCACCTCCCCCTGTATCTGCCCCTGCCTAGAGTGTCATTTCTTTGTTTAACGGATGCACACAAGAAGACACATTGAATATGGATACAACTCAAACAAAGAATTATTCTCAAGAGAATGGCAAGTGGTCTGAAATGGGTAACCTTTAATAACCCCAAGGTAAAGAGGTATATTGTCTCCCAGGACATTCAGGCATATAACTTCAGGTGAATGGCTGGGTTAACCTGTCCTGAGACAGTGAGCATGGTGCATTATGGTCTAGCTTGGGTACAAACATCTTCTATTGATCATGTCTTTTATGTTGTTTGTACCCAAGCTAGACCACAATGCACCTCGTTTTTCAACCTTAGGAAAGACATTAGGTTAGAGAAACGTTAAATAGTCATGATTTAGTAAAATTAATCTTCAAGTTATTAGTATATGTAATATGACTCCATGCTGTCCAATTAAGAAATAATTGGACGAGAAAAATTCCGAGGACTGACAGAATTGGATGGAGCCGTAGGCCGAGTCCAATTTCGCAGTCAGAGGAATTTTTCGAGTCTAATTATTTCTTGATTGGGGAGCATGAAATCCCATTAAATATTAATTATATAGCTGCCTAATTAATCCCATATCAACAAGACCTGTCCAATTAAGAAAATAATTAGACAGTTACCTATATGGGATTAATGAGAAGCTGTATAATTATTATATGTTATAGGACTCCATGCTGTCCAATTAAGAAATAATTGGACGAGGAAAATTCTGAGGACTGACAAAATTGGATGAGGCCGTAGGCCGAGTCCAATTTCGCAGTCAGAGGAATTTTTCGAGTCTAATTATTTCTCGATTGGACAGTAGGGAGTCCCATTACCTATTAATTATATAGCTGCCTAATTAATCCCATATCAACAAGACCTGTCCAATTAAGAAAATAATTGAAATAGACAGTTACCTATATGGGATTAATGAGAAGCTGTATAATTATGTATGTAATATTATGTAATATTATGTGTTCTTCTGCATAAGACACATGTTATTTTACTTAATATATTCTCCCACAGAAATATGGTTTCCCTTGATTTCTGGAGGAACAAGTCATTGACATCTGAGGGTATTTCTTGTCTTGCTCAGGGATGTCCCTTACTCGAGGAGTTAGAAATTGGATGGTGGTAAGTTGATTCTCATAATAAAACAGATTCAATATGGCTGGGAAGATGGCGGCCACCACTATCATCAGTAGCAGCATCTTATCATCACCATCATCATCACCATCATCATCATCATCACCGTCATCATCATCTTCACCATCATCATCACCTTCACCATCACTATCATCATAATCATCATTAGCAACAGCATCATCATCATCATCATTATCACCTTCACCATCATCATCATCATCACCACCATCATCTTATTCACCATCACTATCATTATCATCATCAGTAGCAACAGCACCAGCATCATCGACGTCATCATCATCAATAACATCGTCATCGTCTCCATCATCATCATCAGTAGCAACAACATCAATCATCATCATTATCACCTTCACCATCACCTTCACCATCATCACCTTCACCACCACCATCATCATCATCGTCATCATTATCAACGTCATTTTATTATTCTAATTTTTATTTTTGCAGCACTAGCATTGTATGTTCTACTGAATGTATTCAAAAATTTGTCAAGGGTCATTCACGACTAAAAAAGCTATTTATGGCTGCGATACGGTAAGTCAGGAATTCCCATTTGTCAAATCGACTTCCAATGCTCAGTTACCTATATCCCATTTTCGGTTCCAGTGAATGAATAGTCCCTTTCACAGTTCCTGGCAGCATCTTGAAAGGTAGCCGTGTCTACGTCTTGCTTCGATGCAACAGTACGGCTACCTTTCAAGATGGCGCAGGAAACTATGAAAGAGACTATTTCCATTATCCCAATAGAATAAGCAAATCCCAGATTATATTTTATCTCTTCAGGACCCCCTTAGCAAGGGCAGATCCAGCCAAAATTTTAGGGGGGAGGTAATTGAATTTAGGGGAGGGGCTAATTTAGGGGGGTTAATTGTTTTTAAGGGAGGGGCTAATCGAGTTTCCTCCGTCAACACAACGGAAAACAATAAAAAAACCAGAATTCTTCAGTTTTGTTTTTTTGTTTTTTTTCTTCTGCTGATGGGGG